AGGAGGTATTGTGCAGGTACAAGAGGGGCTTCCAGATGGGGTGCCCACATGATCTTGCCTGAAGACCTCCTTCCTTCCCTAGCCCTCCCCAACAAGTCCTCCCTTAAGACCCCAGAAGCATAGGAGCTGGCTGTCGCTGGAATGCCAAACTTGGTCTGGAGTTTAGGACATATGGCTGACAGAAACAATGCTATCACCCCAACTTCCACCAAGCACACGGCATCATCGCAGTTCTTGCCACATATGCATGTCTCCTATATAATTATCTGCATCATACATATTTTTCTTTAACTCCACCTGCCCCACTTTTTTCTTTTTTTTTTTTTAAAGAAATTAACCTGACTAGGAACTATTTATCACTAAAATCAATGAAAATCCTATGCTATGTACCCTAAATAGAAGGATATTCATAAAGATAAATACAGTGTAAACAACTGCATGAACTTTTAACTGGAACCTAAGCACATTCCCAGGAACACAGTGGCTCTGTAGGATAAGCACTGGACGGTGAACCACAAAGGTTCGAGCCCACCAGCCACTCCACAGGAGAAAGACGAGGCTTTCTGCTCCAGCAAACATTTAAACCTCAGAAACCCTATGCAGGGTCACTATGAATCGGGATCGACTTGATGACACTTAACAAGCACCTTCTAGAGTCCTGGTGTGGTGCTGTACATTAAGCATTGGACTACTAACCACAAGGAGTCCTGGTGTGGTGCTGTGGGTTAATGTGCTGGACTGCAAGGTCGGTGGTTCAACCTCACCAGCCGCTCCTCAGAAGCCCTAGACAAGGTTGCTTAACAACACAAGGTAGGCAGTTCAAAGCCACGGCCATTCAGAACAGACTCTATGGCCTACAACAACAACAAGCAGTTCCCTAAGGTGCGGAACCTGTGACCTACCTGCTCCCTTCCTGTTAAAAAGGGAAAATCCCCAGTGCTAGGTGTTAAAGACAGGTTAGTAGCAACCTAGACCTTATCTTCAGTGTGATGCTGTTAAGTGTTGTTGAGTTGGTTCTGACTCATAGTGACCCTGTAAACGGCTTCCAAGGAGCAGCTGGTGGGTTTGAACTAGTGTAATGAGAAGGATGCAAACCTAACCTAACATTCCTTTGTAATCAAATTGTCCTGTATTTTAGGAAACGGCATTCTCTTCCAACTGTGGTTAGGGCCCTGGGCTACATCATAGTAGTCTAGTTAACCCACCTCCCCACAAAGCAGCACCAGGTAGTCCCAAATTCTGAGTATCTCTGATGACCAAGAGGGAGCCAGACACAGCCAGGGGGCAGGTTCGGGGTCTGCTGGCTTTAGCCCCTCTTCACTACAGACAGGTGGTTCAGAAAGCAGGCATACGGTCTATCCAGCCACCTCCCAAAGAGAAGGTCACTGACCCAGAGCCCCAGAGACTGTCTGGCTCCCTCCATGCTGCCCATCCCACAGTGGGGAAACAGGTGAGGGCTGAATGGCTTTGCCCAACCTCGGCTGTAATTTCCTTAGAGGAGATATGGGCAAGAATGGTCTCCCTACTTCCAGATAGGGGACAGCCTGAGAGGAGGGGATCAGCTCCAGGCCACATTGTCTCAGATGCCTTTCTCAAGCACTCACAGGATTTCTTCCAGGGCAGGGCAGAGCACGAAGCTGGCAGCCAGGAGCTTGGCAGTCTTGTTGTCAATTTTACACGAAATTAGGCTGGAGACAGAGAAGGGCAATGAATGGGAAGCATGAGTCCGGGGCACTGCTGGTTGGTACCCCACAATCAGAGCAGGAGGGGCCCAAGCGGAAGTTCTGGGCAGGAAAGCACCCCCTTTGTGCCGCAGTCTCCTTTGACCCCTGGTGCCTTGGTCACTTCAAAGGCCTCCTCAGCTGTCAGGCTGGGCCAGACCAAGGCTGCCCCCACCCCAGGATGCCGAGGCGCTGCTTACTCGATCTGCCTGAGCAGTGGGAGCCCCTTAGAGAACTGTGGAAGCCCTCCGGCCAGGCTGTTCTCTGCCAAGCTGTGTGGGGGAGACACCAGTGAGGGAGAGCTGCAGACCCTTGCTGGCCCATCCTCCTGACCTATCCCCACCACCCTACTCACCTGATCTCTTCCACCTGCGCACATCCGTCCAAGGCCTGGACAAGGCTCAAAGACCCCGCTGGGCCCAGGTGGCTGGAGGACAGGCTAGGGAAAGGGGAGTGAGTGGGATGACCCTGGGGTGGAGGTCCCTGGTCCCCTACCTTGTCTCAGGCTTTGCTGTGGGACATTAGGTCTTTTCTAAACAAAGCCAGCTCAGGTGAGGCAACTGCTAGCTACCCCAAGCCTTTCCCCATCCACACAGGATGAGGCCAGGTCTCCTAACTCCTAGCCCACAACTCTTTCCCAGCCCCAGACTTGTCTCTAGGCCCTGAGGTAAGGATGATTCTGTGGAAAGGGGCAGCCAGGCCCAGGGCAGACCATAGCGTGACCTAAGGCAGGGCCAGCTCGGTGGATGGGAGCTTTGACTTGGTGAGGTACAGCCCTGCTTGCACTTTTGGCAGGGTACACTCACCACAGGATCTTCAGACGTGGGGGCAGCCTGTGAGCCAACATCAGGGCTGTGGGGTCCCCCAGGGCATTGTACCCAAACCTGGAAGAGGAGAGGGTGAGTGGTGAGCCCTGGGCTGGCTGGTCAGGTCCCTTGCCCTGTGACCTCAGGGGGGTGTGCAGGATACAGGGGTAACACACCTGGGAAACCCACCTGGGTAGGCACTCACCTCAGCTCCTCAAGGCAGAGACCAAGAAACTCCACTACCTGCATTCCCCCTGCCGGCCCAATGCCATTTGCTGAGAGGCTAAGGGAGGGACAGATATGAGATCCTTGACACCCCCTCACTGCCTCCCCTACCACATCTGCTGGGACTGCCACCCCTGCTGCAGGTCCCTAAGAGACAAACCCCACCACACCTTTGCAGGTGGAATGAAGGGCACCAAAGTCAGAGAAGAGCAGAGAGTGGGCCAGCTAAGGTCCCACAGTCAGCACGCCAGCAGGTCACCAGCCCTGATGCACTGGCAGCTGGGGAAGGGAGCGGTTTCCACTGCTGGGACCCTGGTGTGGTGCACATGGGTAAGGCTAGGACTCACTCTAGCTTCCTGAGCTCAGGCAGCCCCGGTAGAACAGCAGCTAAGTGCTGGGCACCAGCATCTCCAATCTGGTTGTGGCTCAAGCTTGGGGAGAGAAGAGTAGAATGAGGGCCTTCAGCCGCTGCTCACCCTGCCTGTCAAGTTTGTCCACGCTCCCAGCCCAAACAGAAGGTGTGTGTATACACTGTGTCCCTCAGATATGTGTGTTGAAACCTTGGCCCCTGTGCCTGAGATGGTGACCCTGCTACTGGGAAAAGGGGTTTTCTTTTATGTTCAAGAGGCCATCCCATGGAAAGTGAGTTCTGAATCTAATCACTTCTGAGTTACTAAAAGAATCTATTAGGTACACACACACACACACACACACACACGTACTCACACACACAGGAGACGACAGAGACCTCATGAGCATCATCTACAAGCCTAGGGACTAAGGCATGCCCAGGGTTACTGACAAGGAAGGCATCAACAAGGCTGAGACCCTGATTCAGACTTTTAGCCTTCAGAAGTGTGAGAAAACACAGTTTTGTTCTTTAAAACCACCTATTTGTGGGCTCTGTGTTATAGCAGCGCTAGGTAATTAAGCCAGCGGGGAGGCTGAGGTCAGTTCACAAGGAGACAGTTCCATCTTCACTCTGCTCTCCCTGAAGTCTGACCTAAATCCTTCTTCTTCTTCTTTTATTTTAATGTTTTATTGTAAATTATGTGATAGTTTACATGGGAGAGCATTAGTTTTACATTCATCCTATTGTATATCATTTCATTGCCATGATTACAATCCCCTACATGCATCATCAACCATCCAAAGCCTGCCCCTCAGTGGTCAGCCCATAGCCTCTCTCCCTCTCTGGGTCTAAAGTCCCCAGCCGCTCCATCTCTCCAAGTCATCATCACTGTTTCTCTAGGTAGGGTCCTGCACTCCGCTCTTCTCCCTTGATGGCCCCAGGGACCTTCACTCCTGAACTGCAAAGTCAATCACTCCCTTCCTTTTGCTATAAAACATTTACCTTTACATTTCCTACCCTCACAGACAGTCCTGATGACAATTATTCACTATTGTATCACAAGAGACCTATCCACATCTCCTTTCACCAGCCCTGTCCAGACAGATTGGATCCTACTCAGTGGAGAGTCTACCTTCCTCTGCGCCCTCTGGATCTAGGCTCCCTCTTGAAAGCTTGTAAGCCAGCCACTTCTTGCCTTTGTAGCCCTCCCATTTTGGGTAGCCAATGTCCAAGTTGCCCATCCCCGTCTACTCTGTGTATGGAGGGGATGTGAATGTTGCTTGTTCCCTCTTTTGAGCTACTGCATCCATAGGTGTAGGTCAAGTTCATCAAATTGTATCAGATTACTTTTTTCCCTCTTCTTTCTTCTTCTAGTTGAGTTCTGATCATCCAGTCATTGAAGCCAGGTCAAGTGGGTATTATCTGCAAGTGGGGTGCTCTTGTGCATATGCCCTCTCTTCTTATCAGCTGGACGCTTCACTCTCCAGTCTAGTCCTCTGTGGCTATGTCACTGACTCTGGGCCCAAGAGTCCCCTGGTCTTGCCACACTGCTGGCCAACCAGGTCTCCACCCTGGTTCACAGGAGTCTGTTGAACGTTGTAGGGCTTAGCTCACCGCTTCATTGCTGTTTTTCCCTCACTTCCCTTTATTGGTGACAAATGTGGTCACCAATCATAGCATGTATTCCCATTGGGTTTTAGTCTTAGAAGAGGGTTTGCCCTGAGGGGACCTGACCACTTGCCTTGATGTCTCCTGGACGAGCAACTTGCTTGTTCTTGTTGTAGTCAGTCGGACTGCCATTATTGTTTTGTATTTTTCCTGTCAGTGTTTCTTTCAGGAAGTATCTTCTGTTCTTCTAGCCATTCCAGGCTGGTCTGCTTGTGCTTTTGAGTGGAAATTTCCCACCTCGGGAGATTCTGGATGGGGTTCAGGGTTCCACCTGTTGTCTTAGGCAATGTAGAGGCTCCGCAGGAAGCCTCCTTCACTGGGCACATTGTAGCCCCATTTTAGGTATTCCAATCAAGGAGTTGTGGTAGCATAGTGGTTATGAATTGGGCTGTGAACTGCAAGGTCAGCAATTCGAAACTACCAGCTGTTTCACGGTAGAAAGATGAGGCTTTCTGTGCCCATAAAGATTTACAGCCTTGGAAACCCTGTGCAGGGTCACTATGAGTCAGAACTGACTCCGAGGCACATAACAACAACAATCAGTTATAGGCAGAAGACGGACTTAAAAGCTTTCTATGGTGATGTTTCTGGCTATTCTTTTCTCTCCCCATCAAGTGTCTATTTTATAATGGTATGCCAGGAAAATCCAGATTCAAAAGATAGCCAAGCATCTTAACATTATTTCCTCCCTTTTGCCCATTCCAACCATGTCTCAATCCCTGTATCCCAGAGCCCTGTTGTTCCAAGGTTGTGCATACATCATTATTTACCTCTGTCCCACTTAGCCCATGAAAATCTGCCTAATTGTTTTCCCACCCCATCTTCCATTCCCCTTCCCCTTCTAGTGTGTTGCCCCCCTCCCTAGCACCCAAACTATCTCGTGTCTATTCCCTACCCTGTGCTCCACCTTCCCCTCCCTCCCCTCACCCCACTTCCCTGTACCCCGCAAATGGGTTCTTTTTCTAAATCCTTTCTAAATCTTTTCTAAATCTCCCCCCTTAGTATGGGTTCTTTTTCTAAATCCTTCTTGCTGCAATAGATACTTACACATTCTATCTTGAATCTCCCAAGGTGCCAAGCTTGGGGTTTTGCACAGTGTGCAAAGTGGGGAATGAGACCACCAAGAGAAGAGTGCACTCAAGTGGTCTTGTTTGATCATCTGCCCAAGCCTCCACCCTGCCAAACTTGTCTTGGGTCTGGAGGAGGGGCCGACAACTCACCTCAATTCCTCCAAGTTGGTGGTAACTCTGAAGGCTTCACAAAGGTGACGACAGCCAATGTCACCAAGGCTGTTCCCGCTCAGGCTGGAGAAGTGGGGAACACGCCAATGGACTTCAGTCAGTTGCTTAGAGGCCTTTGCAGGGACTATGTTAAGAATGCTACAGTTTGCAAAGCCTGTCACATTCAGGAGCTCATGTGCCACTCACAAAAGTTTGGAGTGGTGGGGAGGGTGAAGGGGGCCAGAAGGAGTGGTGAGCCGGGAAGAATGACTGGTCCCTGTGTGCAGGGGAGAAAACTGAGACTTGGAGAAGAGCCCTGGGGTGGAGCTGAAGGATAAACAGTCAACCCCAAGGTCAGTTTGAACCTTAAGGTCAGTGGTTCAAACTCACCAGTGCTCCTTGTAAACCCTATACTGGGTCACTGAGTCAGAACCAGCACAATGGCACTTAACAACAACAACAACAACCACAGAGAGGAGCCCTGACTGGCCAGAGACCCACAGCTATTCACAGGCAAAGTAGAGATGAGAGCCCAGAGCCCTTGGCCTGGAAACAGGCCAGTGCATCAAATGTAAAGGACACTTTTTGGTTTTGCCAGACTTCGCCTCGCCTCAGCCTCTGTGTTGGGGGTCTGTCAGAGCAGCTTAAAGGACTGTCAGCTCATAGGAGTACCACAGCTCAGGCAAATCCTTTCTCCAGGGCTCCCAGCGTTCTAGTCTGTGCACACAGTGGGCTTCTCCTTAAACTCTGCTTAATGTCTTCTCTGTGCCCTGACCTTGTTATGCCTCTGGGAGTGTGTGTGTGGGGGGTGAGAACAAAACCAAAACCAAAACCAAAAATTGCTTTTGTCCCAAAGTGAAGTATTTGCCTGAGGGTTATTTTGCTGTTTTGTTTTTGCACATTAAATTTTGAACTGCCTTTCAGTAAGTTGATCTTAGAAGAAATGATCAAGTGACCTGTTGCTTAGAATCTGCACACCCCACCCCAGCTACTCCATTTCCTAACTACTCTACTTGGCCTGAGTGGGGGGTGAGGACTTGGATAAAAACAAACGCTTTGTGTCGTGGTTTGAATTTGCTGGGACCTAATATTTCATATTTCTAAAAATCATATTCAAAAGAGAGTATAATATTTGTTTGTTAAAGAGAACAGGGGTTGAAAATGACAAGGTCCTGAGACCTTCACAGTGTGGCCTGTAGCCTCGGGAATCAGTTATGTTTGGGAGCGGGACAGAGATGCAGAATCTGGGCAATCCAGACCTGCAGAATCGGAATCTGATTCCTGCACTCATTAAGACTTGAGTAAGTCAGTCCAGGACTTGGTGGCATTGGAAGGCAAATACAGTGGGTACTGACCCTGGAGGGCCCAGGGACACCCTAGGGAAAGGAGTGTCATCAGGGGCATGCCCTGATGCCTCTCTGGGTGGTAGTCCCAGAAGAGTCGGGGTGTTATCCTCCATTTGCTCCCCTGGGGCTCGTTGGTCACTTACATGAGACTCTGCAGAAGTGTCATGTGCCTTAGTGCTTGAGTGAGCAGGTCCAGGGTGCAGCTGTCCAGTGGAAGGTAGCTGAGGCTGAAGAAGAGGAGACCAGGTGAGGACCTGGGGTTGCTGGGGTTGGGTCCCAGGCGCATACTGAGGCCTTGTCCTTTCTCTGTGGTTAACAATACTCAGTCCTCCAAGACAGCCACTTACACCCACACAATGTAAAAACTGTACAAAACAAAACTACACTGGGAAATCCAAATGTCATCTCCTTGCATGGATTACCAAGTCATCCAGCCAGCAGCCCTGTGTTCTCAATCACAGCAGGACTCAGACTGTGGACCAGCGATAATAATGACCACATCCTGAGTACATACTGTGAGACCAGGTACTAGATTCAGGGCCACCTTCAAAGGTGAGTCATTATCACCCCATTTTACAGATGGGGAACACTGAGGCTCAGAGAGTCAGAAAACTTGCTCAAGGTCACCCACAGAAAGTGGCAGCCTCAGGCACAGAACGCAAGGCTATAGGACTTCCCATTCCTGGTTCTGATGACATGCCACCACATGCCACTCTCCTTATGGTCCCCAGCCTAGATAGGAAAGGGTAATAATAAATGATAACAATATATCTGTTCTAAACACTTAACTTGTATTATCTCATTTAAGCCTCACAAGAACGAACCCTTGGAGGTAAGTATTACTATTACTCCTAAAGTTAAGATAAGACAAAAACACAGAGAGTTTAAAGAACTTTGCCAAGCTCACACATTAACAAGTAGAACCTAGAGGTGACCAGCTGTCCTAGTCTTCCTAGAACTGAGGGGCTTTCTAGGACATGGGGCTTTCTGGTGCTAAAACCAGGGCAGTTGGTCAAGGTACCAAGGTTGAACCCAGGCAATGTGGCTTCTAACAAGGTAGGTCCATGCCTCTAACCATTTCACTATAGATGGAACAGGTGGAAGAAGCTGGTTAGATTTGAGGACCATTGGTGTGGCACTTTGGGTTAATGTGCTGGACTGCAAAGTTGGCTTGAACAGCAAGGCTGGCAGTTCAAGCTTATCAGCTGCTCCTCAGAAACCCTATACAGGATCTCTATGGGTTGGAACCAACTCAACAGCACTTAATAACAACAACAGCCTGTCAGAGATGGAACCTAGGTGGCACAGTGGCTAAGCACTGGACTGCTAACTGAAAGTTCAGTGCAGTGCTTCAAACCCACCAGCAGCTCCTATGGAGAAAGATGAGGCAGTCTGCTGTAAAGATTTACAGCTTCGGAAATCCTATGACGCAGATCTTCTCTGTCCTACAGGGTTGCTACAAGTTGGAATCAACTCAATGGCTGTGGGTCTGGGCCTTTCAGCGAGGAGACGGACGAGGTGACAGATCTGAAACCTGCAGGGACCTCTGGGCAGTGACGATCTGTCCTCTGCTTTTTGAAAGGGACTGTATCAGTGCTGTTGGTGGTGGTGCCATCAAGTTGGCTCTGACTCATAGCAAACTGCGTACAACGGAACAAGCTGCTGTGTACAATGGAACAAGCTGCTGCGTACAACGGAACAAGCTGCATACAACGGAACAAGCTGCGTACAACGGAACAACCTGCGTACAACGGAACAGGCTGCGTACAACGGAACAGGCTGCGTACAACGGAACAACCTGCGTACAACGGAACAAGCTGCGTACAATGGAACAACCTGTGTACAATGGAACAACCTGTGTACAACGGAACAACCTGCGTACAACGGAACAAGCTGCGTACAATGGAACAAGCTGCGTATAGTGGAACAAG